CCATAGAAAAACCAATACTAGAACTAAAAGGGACGAAAATTATATAGGATTCTAAGCCTCTATATTACTGTCGTGTAAAGAAGGAATGTAAAAGGCTTTACTTAGCATCCTGAATGGGTCTAGAACCAAGGTAGCATTCCAACCAACCAACTCTTTCGAGAGACAAATTTTGTTGGCCTAGGGACCTAATAGATACACATGCAGACATGTGTGAACTGTCTAATGAGACGTTTGCAGCTAACTACCTCAAGCCTACAAGTCCACTTCTCAGTTTACAATCTAAAATAGAACTCCCTTCATCTTCAACGCTGAAACAAATCACTACAGTTCACTTCACTTACTCTAATATTAACCAAGCCGTTAATATTCTTAAAAGCTCTAGTAGTGCCGGTTTTCACGGTATACCATCGTATCTTTATAAACACGGTGGTTCTGACATTTCCGTTTTATTACTTAAGATTTTTACAATGTCCCTAGAAAGCCAAACCTATCCAGATAAATGGAAAACGACATTTATAGTACCTAAACACAAATCCGGATCAAAAACTGAAGTCAACAACTACAGGCCAATCAATATTACACCCATAGTATCTAGAATCATTGAACGAATAGTTAAAGATGATATCCTCAAACATATGCTCAGCTGCAATATTCTAAGTCCAAACCAACATGGATTCCTAAAATCCAGATCATGCATGACATGTCACCTTGACTTCTTTAACAATATAACTAGCAGTCGAGACAAACAACAACTAGTACTAGTCATCTACTTCGACATATCCAAAGCCTTTGACCGCGTTGACCATTTACTTCTAATAAATAAGCTAAACTCCTTAGGAATAAGTAACCCATTATTAGGATGGATTGAATCATTCCTTAACAATAGGTCCCAAGTAGTTAAACTGGGGTCGGTAAATTCTAAACCTAGTCCAGTCACTTCTGGAGTAGTTCAAGGTAGCGTCTTAGGCCCCCTCCTATTCACTCTATATGTCAACGACATATGCAGCTGTTTCTCACTTGGCAAACCATTCATCTTTGCAGATGATCTTAAAGTAGCTTACACATTCCACTCTGATGACTTAGGGTACTTTCAGAAAGCTGTTCAGGAAGAACTAGATCGAGTAACCGCATGGTCCTCCACATGGAACCTAAAATTCAACCTTAAAAAATGTGGCTGGATCTGTTTCGGTGCACCCTCAATAAATATTAAACTGGTACTTAAATCTCTTGAATTGCCTAAACTCCAAAGTGCTGTTGACCTAGGACTCAGGTACTCTAGTGACTTGACATTTTCTGAGCAAGTGGCGACACAGACGCGTAAATCGAGGATGCTCTTAGGATGCATACTCAGGAATTTCCACAGCTACGAAGCGAAACTATTATTATATAAAACTTGTGTCGGACCACTACTTGAATATTGTCCATTTATTCTCAGCAGCACTCGCGTAAGTGACAAACTTAGAATAGAAAGTGTCCAACGATACTTCACGTCTAAACTACTAGGATTTGACTGCGAAAAGGACTACACATCAAGGTGTATAACTCTAGGTATCGACCAACTCTGGATGAGACGACTGAGCATTAACCTAACATTCTTCTTTAAAATATTGCATAAAATATCATTCTCAGACAGCAAGGAGATACAGTTCTCACCGGAAGGCTCTTACAACCTTCGTAACCAAACGTGCACAGTATCTAGGAAAAACTGTAAGACAGCACTCCGTGCAAACTTCTTCATAGTCATGTACTCTAAGATCTGGAACAGTTTACCCCTAGAAATAAGGACCTGTCACTCTATTATAACCTTCAAACGCTTGCTATATAAACTGCTTTATCCAAATGACTATGCCGATCACACCGCACCACTTATTTCCAAAACGCATGAGCTACTAGAACACTATAACGCCTAGACTCATTACTAACTATTACGACACTAAATAAACACTAAGACTTCGCAAAATTATATGAAAAACAACTAGATTATGGGTAGTGTTTACTATACAATGATATACATTTACAAACATTTATATGTACATAAAATAATAATGTTCTTTCCATATTTACATACTTTATCTCCCTGCTGAGCCTAATCTTCTATATACCTCCTCGTCGAGGTCGAACAACCCAACATCTAAACTGAAATGACCATTTATGTAAATTCAAACTCAAATTCCATGAACGATCCGATGCAACCACTTGAAAACGCTGGCTAACATTCTGTATAAGGATTATTCTTGATCTGATATAAAGAAACAACTGGTTTTCAAGTAGTTTTCAATGTATTACTCAACTTACATGTACAGTCTGCCATGCTGACGCAAATGGCGCAAATGGATAGTTCTAGAATCGACCTCGGCCCCATTTGATGCAGTAAAACAATCTAACATGAACTTATCTAATTTTCGTATCAAAGATCAAATTTCTTTCCTATTATAAAACTACGATAAGACTGCTGACAAAAATGGAATAAATACATTATTGACTCAAAATAATACATCAATAAACTTTATCTCACGGATGCTGTTCACAACAAAGTTTTATAGGAGAATTGAATTCAAGCTTTATTTTTCCCAGATATTTGTATCACATTCATCTGAAGTCTGGGTTTTTTGTTAATGCGAAGACAATATTCCTATATCTCTTTATGTGTTACACAGACAGACTATTTTGCAGACTGTTCTGACTGACTCTAATGTTAGACTGAACAAACAAACTGTAATTTATATAATAACTTATCCATGCCTGTACAATTGGTATGTTCCTGCATAAACAGGAATAAATAAATAAATATAAATAATATTATTAACCAAATACCATACAATGACTGTGAGCTTGATTACTTACGTCAAACTAGTAGATTGGGGCCAAGTAGATTATTGGAGCAGCAATTTAGTTGGAGCTAGAATGACTGACCTTGCTAATTTTAATGACCCAGAAAAAAGCTCAGCCATTGCGTTGCACCGCATTTACTTGCATGTAATCACAAAACAGTATGTGTGGGACAGCGTGAGAGTGTTAAAAAGTAATGTCGTTTGGTGGAGAGAGAGGTTATCCACCAAAGCATTTTTTACTGATTCAGCGCCGCACCTCTGCAATCAGAATGACGCAATGCCTATCATGCCAGAGACATGGCAAGTGGCAACCAACAACAAGAGGAAGTTGGAGAGATAGAAGGAGTGCCAAAAATTTATATATATAAGACAAACTGTATTACTAATTTGATATGATTATGAGCAATAATTTATGCTCGAAATTTCATCCAGCTGTTCATACTGCATCATGTGTTATAATTAAAATAAACCCATCTAATATGGAATTGCATTCCACCCCAGTTCCGCGCTTACTTTAGTCGTAACATCAAGTCGTTCATGATGTAAAGCACCAATTCTGATGGCTGGAAGTAAGAAGTGCTGAATTCATCACTCATACTGTTTTCCAAGGTGTATCTGTTCACTACACGCATGAACTGTAGTCTGGATGGACATTTGAACCAGCTGCATATTGGAGAGCCTCAGAAGGTTGTGGGCTTAGGCTGGCCAGACAGGATTGATAAAACCCTACTGACTGGTTTGGGAAAAATGTACTCTTGGCATAAAAATTTGTTTGCAGATGTTGACCACTGAGGAGCAGTAGAGGATGGCCAAACCATGGAGTGACCGATGACAATCTGACATGCCAGCTTCAGTAGGAAATGATAGCAGTAAAATAAGCTGACAAATGGCAGCAAAACATTAATTTGTAAAATACTATGTGAACATCCTTGACGCGTCTCGTGTAGATGCACTATATATACTTCGTATCTTGATGTTGTGGAGATTCAAAGTAACGGTTCGGCGACTGATGCCATAGCCACAGTCAGGCTCAATTCGAAACTCACCAGTGAAAAATAAAGGCACGCGATAGGAAACCCTAGGCAGAGCTACGGAATGAAAGCTAATCGAACTAACATTCTCACAGGAGTTGTTTCCAAGGGAGGTTCACGTAGGGCTAATGCAATACCGTAGGTGATAGCCAGTGAGATGTCGTAAGTGACTAAAAACTCGGAAGGACGGGATGAGTAGCGAAGTGATTTGTAAAGTTTCCTTTATCTATGGAATGATAGATACCCTTTCTGTGTGTTTGACTAGGTTTCTCACCTCACTTGTCCACTGCCATGCTTTAGAAAATAAAAATTTCTAGACACAACTGGCTTTCTACAATATTATGAGCTGCCGTTCTGTATTCGGAGTAACTGTTTTGAGAGAAGTGTGAGTTTCCTAACAGTCACATCAATGCTCTTCCAATTGATCCAGAAAAATGACGGAATTGCACACTACGAGACCCACAATTTTCTTTTTCCGTAGCTCAAAAATCTCGACACAAATTGGGCAGTTGAAGCCTACGAAAGTTGGCGTCTACAGATTTGACTATTGCTGCCCAAGGGACTGTCCTGGTCTTGTCGAGAAAATTTCGAAGAATTAACATAACCTCAACAAAATTGATCCTATCAACTGGTAATTATGTGTCTTCACAGACACACTGCCAAGGATTATTTAACAAAAAGATTGAGCTCCGGCTTACTGGCTCTGAAATACACTTTCGGAACTGGTTACTGCCATACTATCATTGGAAAGATTCAGATGGCTGCCAGTTGACAATGGATCAGCACAAAGTTTACAACTAAATGGAGCGAATTGGGAGGTAGCTCTAACAGAATGCGCTAATACTACCCACTTCCATCCATTCAGCTCTACCGATTAGTTTTGTTACACGCTTCTATCTGACTATGGAACTTGAATATTCACACTGTTGCTATTTTCGCTCTTGATAGTATAATAACCAGTTATTTCCTATCTTTGAAATTTCTTCACTACCAAGAACCGTGTGAAAATAAACCACTTTAACTATTAAAAATCGAAAAATAGCGCATTCGATCCCGGCGTTATGCTTCTAAGTAAAAAATGAATATATGAAGAGAATGTCTGAAATTGAGAATAGAATGTTGAAGAAATAACGAAACATTTGGCGTGACCTTGAACTACGTAGCAACGATTGGTAGGTGAATGATTTGTATCATCTTTACATGCACCTTTTCGACCATTAAAAGTTAGGAAAATCATGTTTAGTTGTGGGTGTGAAGATTTTGTGCCTTAAGAAGCACACCCAAGTATATTAACACTAGCGTTAAGTACTAGTACTTTATATAAAGTATAGTGTCTCATATGAAACACTTTATCAGAAGTAAATGTTAAGGCTGGCTAATATGCAGATACCCACTTTCCGTAGTAGAACTTCTTTATTTCTTTCTTTGTGTCGGTCCCTTGACTTTCCCTATTTCAGTGTTATTTTTCCTCAATTTGATTGTTTGGGTTAGTAATGTGCTCAGACATGAATTCTTCACAATATCGGCTGACGTGGCACATTATGGGATGCTAGTTGGCTCTTCTCCATTGTGTGATTATTTAAAACTCTATGATACCTACACCATCTTACCGTAGTGCTCGTGATGTTTTGTACTTACTGGCATATAGAAATGCTTCATAAGACAAATAAAATCATCAGTGAAGTACACCAATCAATCCTAAACAACGTGTCATCCGAAATCGGGGCCCAGAATTGAAGTTCAAATAGCGCAAATGTCGATATATGACCTATTTTCCTCAGCAGTAACAATGTTCCTTTCGAGAGGGTTTCTTACAGATAGAAGTCGAACTACATCTGCTCTTTTCTAAATATTCGCATGTAAAATGCAAGATAGTTTATCTCATTTGCTTTATTCAATGATTGTGAATAAGATGTTATATATATATATATATATATATATATATATAGCATCCGCATATGCTTTTGCACTATTTTATTAGTCGGGATAAGATTTTCGAAGCATAATAAATGTAAAGGCCCTACGCTTCCCACATACAATCTGATCCCCTTTAATTTCGAGTTACGTTGTAAGTGTTATTAACAGTAATTGTGAAATACGTGCGCTAAATTTTACCGACTAAATTGTGATCGGCAAAGACAACCGACTACACGAGATTGAACAGAGATAGTACCCATTCCCTGTTATACTATTTTTCTTTTAACAACGTTTGAAGCCGAACCTTGAAGAATGATAATAAGTGTAAGATTCTAGGTTCTAAAGCCTGGTGTTAAGCAGTCGGTGCTCGGAAGAAATATCTGGATGCAAATCAATCGGTTTTTAAGCATAAACGAGGGTATGGTGGTCGTATCTTCACCCTTGGACAGATATTAACCAGCATCACATACCCTATTTCTCAACGAGAAGACATTTAATTTTGTTTGCCGAGAGTTGCTGTGGTAACATATGACCATAAAGGAGATGCCGAGAATGTATATTGCACTAATCAAAGCAATGCATTTGTTATCTGACGTGGTGATAACCAGCGGTGTGCGACAAGAATGCCCACCGTCCTCATTTTGATTAATTTCACCACAGATGTTCTAATGAATATGACATTAATCAACCGTATTGAAATTTTTTAGTCCATATTCATGACGCCCAATACAATTTCCAAATCAATAATCGCTTCCTTGTTGTCATACTCTAGATTGTGTATCAAATGCTCTGTTTCTTGATGATGTTATATCCGCACTTTTTCTAGCAATTACGATGGAATTTTTAGAAATGCACTGTTTAGAACATCGTACTCATCAGCAGAGTTGGTATTCAGATGCTATATCGCCACTCTTCATTCATTACAGAAGGGAATAGATTCATCAACTTAATTCTTAGAAACTCGTTGTGCCATTTAGAGGCTTTGGTTTCTCAAATAAACATTGACTGATGCATGTACTCTAAATAAACAGTAAATTTTCACAGAACAGGTAGACTTGGCCTTGAAAGAAGTATCCATTGATTTATCTGTTGGACATTTTTATAGATAAGTTGAACTATTTGAAGCTGTGATAATTTTTAATTTACAGAACAAAGTACAGTAGGTGAAAAGACATAATCATGATTATGTTTGTGTTGAAGTTAAAATTTTAAGAGGAACAAAACTGTTGCGGACTACATACTCTATGGAGAAAATGTGCCTGTTGTTCTTACTATTTGTGTAGACATTTTCTTCACTGTTGATAATTACGTATCAGTTTGTTGCAATTCTGCTATGCCATTTAATTTGATCGGTTTTGATGCACGAGACCACAAAACTTCAAATATGTATGAAATTCTGGCGTATCAATCTACTGTTTATTCTTTTTTCTGTATTTCAGACTAAATTTGGCGTTAGATAGCTCCTAGGAATATCCAGTAACTGGTTGCAAAATGTTCTTATCTGTATATCGACCTATTCACAACTTGTTCAACAAGTACTGTTTGTGTTTGGCTATCTATATGTGTGAACCTTGGGAAAAGATTATATTGCGTATCCTTTTTGCTTTACAGTTATTCACATTGTAAAGGTGTTTGAAATGCTCAGTATCGAAACTTTACTTGGATGCACAAATGCAAACATGCTATATAATCCTTCCACAACCCTTCTACAAGCATTAGTATTTCAACCATATGGTCATATAATGTTCAGATCCTCTGGAATTTGTATAAAAATAGTCTTCATGGAGAAGTTTAACTAGCCACAACTTAAAATTTAAGTAATGTGTGTTGAGTCGAAGTAGTGACACCACAGTTGTGAAAGTGTAAACTCACATAGTCTGGTGTTCTTCCAGCTTTGATATTTGATTGTGGATATTTCACCACTTGAACTGATGACATTCGACGGTAACTCCGTCAGTTCTGATGATAAAACACATACAATCAAATACCAAACCTCCAAGTACACCAAATAATTTCCATTTTCTCTAGCTACAAATTTCTATTATTTCAGTCTTATCAAGCCTTACCAAGCAATATTACTTTTTATAATAATTAAAAACATAACTTACCGAAATTGATATATCAACGATAAAATCATTAGTACATGACTGTTGAGATATGAGAAGCATTACCAACTAATAACATTCAGAAGCACCAAACCATAGTAAGAAATTAAATTAAATTAAGGATCGCCGCCAAAATTATCGGTCACTGACGAACCAGTTGTTCATTTTTTAAAATTAATGATACGACCTTAAAATAGAAGAGCTTCCTTATATCAGCATAAAACCTCACAAACCTTACTAAATTTTCACTTAACTGCGCTTATTAGAATGACTTATTATCTTCACCTATACAAAGTTTGTCGCATCCAAGTTTAGCAGGAATGTACGTTTAATTAAGGTAGTTTCTTGAATAACATGTCAGAAAACCATCTGACTTCGATTGTTTCCAACAGTATTAAGATCTGTAGGACTGGTAAGTTTGTATTAAACTATAGGCCTGAACTAACACTGTAGATATCTTTCATAATACCAAGTAGCTGTGTAACAACAGAAGGCAAGACACGGGAGCCAAGGTGTGTTTTTCATTAATAAAATAGCTGTTTACAAATCTAAAGTTTATATTCGTTTACCAATCATCGAGCGTTTGATTTCGGTTGACAACAAACAACATGAGATAGAATGTTCAAATATACATAGTATTCTGTTGTTAATACAGTCCATAACTGGGAAAGTATTCTGTCTCTAACATCAAACAGACTGTTCTAATAGATATATTGTATTCTGTTGCTAATGCCGAACTGAACTGTAGGAATATGTGAATATAATATTCCGTTGGCATACATTGTCTGTATCACATCACCACAGTTCGATCTCATTAATTTAAACTTTTGTTGAAATAATAGTAATAGCTATCATCCGTAGATTACTGTGTTAAACTGATGTCCGAAATTATCAAACGTATCTACTTTAGTCCGAATAACTACGTAGTATCACAAGCCCTCACGCATCAAGTGAGGCACATGGTCGTCTGACGGAAGAAAAGTCTGTTCGGTGTAACTGAGTTATAAGAGCCGAGGATGTATTAAAGTAATGAAAACTAAACTCTCAAACTATTTAGGCACTGCAAATGTGGTTTTAAAATCAAAGCGTAGTATAGAGTGTGCTTGTACTACTAACCCTAATTATCTGAGTAACAAAACTTTGGAATTTATGAGTAGATGGCTCTAAGATTCTCGTATACCGAATTCCTAATAATCCCATTTACACATGTTATTTCTTTTAGTAGTGTTTAAGATAAAGAATATGCTAAAATGATTGGTAAGTAGCTAAAACGTAATTTCTCCTCAACACTTGTAGAATTCATAGAAATGATTGGGCTTGATTTAATGGCCAGTAAATAGTATCTATATAAAGCAGTAGACTCGTTGGTTAGCACTTGGCGCAATTTGACTAATTTTCAATTTAGAAGAAATACGGGACTAATTTTGAAAACATTTAAAATACCATTATTTTTACCAATTGAACTTCATGAAACCTATTTTGTTATCGAACCCTCTTGTTATCATAAACTTTCCCTTTCCTTAACTCTGGCTAATAGATTGTATCACATTAACAATTTTCTGTGCTTTAACGTATACCGCTGCATTATTTATTCCTAATCAACTGCTAAATTTTGTTAGGTTTGTTTGGAAATGTCTCACTGTGGATCAGTATGAACGTTTTAGACTAATTTAAAGTCTAAACCACTTATTCTGGTGTTTTTACCTCAATTTTGTTGTTGTCGGTTAGAATTCTTTATATTGTGAATTTCAAAATATTGAAGAATTACATGTAATGATAAATTTAAACACTATGCAGTATCGATATAATTGGCTGAGTGTATACTGGGTTGTGTTGTTGGTCTTCTAACTTCAAATTCTTTTCTAAATAGTGGGATGATTTACCTATACTTACATTTATACATATCAATCCTATCAGGACCACAACTTTGTTATTTTTGTATATTCTAAACAGTAAAACGTTTTTTACTTAACGAAGTGTGATTTTAAAAAAATTATTCTATTGTAGTTTTGTTTTCTTATTTCATACAATAAAACCAAATGCACTGCAAAAAACCATTTTCGTAAGTGTTGCATTTTGCATTGTTGAATGAACTGCTTGTGTGTGCGTGCGTGCGTACCAAGCACTACATTATCTCAGCAACACTAGTCTACTGTGTACACTTTGTCGTGTGAATTTCCCAGTATTTTAACCACTAGTTAAATGGGGGCATTAATTAACGTGCTTAAGGGGACAACGTAGTGTTGTAGTTAAATGGTTTTTTTGTAAAATTAATAGAATATAAGGAGGAATTTGATTTGTGCTGTCGTGGTGTGGAAATAATATTTCTGAATTTTACCACAGTGTTTGTATGTTCATGAACAGGAGTTATTTAGATACAGACAGCTCAGTGAATACTGATGTAATGTATACGGTTTTCTGTAGACTTCCATATATAGGTTCGTGCCATCACCTCATTTGTATGGGATAAATCAATATCATAATTGGTTTATTAAATGCCTTCGAATGTGAACATCTTATGATAATGGGTAAGATTATCACAGAAGTTGTAGAAAACTATTTCACCTCTTTTTATAGGACACAGTCTTTGCGCTTGACTATTGTTCAAAAGGCATATTCTTATTGAACATATTGTCAACGCCCCATTACTACTTTGGTAGGCATATTGTATCTTGAGCTAATAGACAGGGACAGCCTATGGAGGAGTGGCTGAAGTGTAGATTTTGATCATATATGATCTAAATGTAACCGTTGATATTAAATTTTAAGTAAAGGATAGAATTTGTAATTCAATAAGCATTTATAGAATTATGCATCCATCTGAGTAATTTGTATTTTCGATGCTTTAATGAGAAGTCGACAGTTCAGTCGAAACAGGGAAAGTAAAATAAAGTTTAGGATTCACCAGTTGTGGTAGGAGACTGAGTTAAAATATTAAAAATAGGAGAAGCATGAGTATGTTAAAAATTACTTGTATATATCAAGTATATTCCTCACTTAAGAGGATAAAGCTTTTTTCCGTCATTGCAATGCTTAGATGATAGATTTCGCACTCATGTTCAGTGCATTCAATATATGGAGTTTTCGTTAATTATCATTCCTTATCTAAACTCTTTATCAAGTGAAATGCCGTAGAGTGTGATTTTCGTATAAAATAGTAAAATACTATGTGAAGGAGTTTTACTATTGGTCAACTAGAAAATTCTATGCTTATGTGCATTTTTGTAGGACGATAAATTCCTAACACAGTAACATCTGTATTGGTAATAATATTACCATGGGTTGCAAACTAAGTGTTTCATGGACAGAAATTTAGTGTACATCTGAAATCAAATGTTTAAATATGTTTGAGGTAAACAGAGATACAACAAGAACGATTAATATTGTGTTTTATATAGGCCCAAGTCTTTTTTCTAAGCGTCGAGTTTAACTGCTCCATTGTTACTAGGCTGATAAAATAACGTATTTTCTCAAGACCTCAATAGCACAATTGTTCTTCATTTGCCTATACTCAAGAATGCTGTTGGGTGGTTGTCTACTAACAGCTGTTACTTAGTGCCGATATAAGATTGGTTGAACACTTGTGCAAAATACTACATGAGAAGCTTTCTCCGGTGTATATGATTATAAAGTGTATACAAAATATCTTTGACTCAGTGATAAGGGGGAAATATGTTTAATCTTGGTCTGATACTCTCCTTTAGTGCAAAATAGTCTACCGGTCTGATACAAATCCGTGAACTCAGTATATATTAATTCGTCAGACAGTGCGAAGGAATTCATTTTGACAACTAGTGCAGCCAATCACCATCAACGGGAGAGATGTGAAGGAGGTTACTTCCTTCACTTATATAGGAAGCAGGGTTCCAACCACAGGCACACGGCACGGATGAAAATGTCAAAACCAGAATTGGAAAGGCTGAAACCAGTTTGGAAATCTTCTACACAGCCCAAAGAACATGATTCGAATTTTCAGCACAAATGTGAAGTCAGTCAGTCAGTTCTTCTATATGGGTCAGAAACTTAGCGTATCTCGGAAAGGATTTCTAACAAGTTACAGACTTTTATCAACAACTGCCTTCGCTCTGCACTGAAGATCAAATGGCCAGAAAGAGTTAGAAACAAGAAACAATGGGAAAAAACTAACCAAGAATCCGTCGTTCAGTAAATATGTGGGAGAAAATGGAGCTGGATCGGGCACACACTGAGGAGACCGTAGAATGAAATCGCGCAATGCAGGCCATCGCTCAAGTGGAACCCGAATGGGGAAGGACGAGTAGGTCACCGGTGCGAGGGTGACATGGAGGAGATAAGAGGTTGCAGGCAATCGTGGTCCGGGCTGAAGAGGACAGCAGAAAATGGAACAAAGTGGAGATGTGTTGTTGAAGCCCTATGTTCCACTGGGAACCTAGGGAATAATAATCTAATCTTGTATAATACTGTCATAATAAAGAATAATTCATTTTTTGGATGTTATGTAACAGTGATAGCTCTTCAAAATATCAGATGACACAAACACATTAAGACCTATGTTCTTCACTTCCATGAGGAAGTCAAGAACTTGCAATTCATAAACATTGGAATTCAGAATTTCGGTTGGTTATATTAATAATTCAGCGAACTATGTAGATTTTATGTCAGTCTTTGAAAACATTCACGTGAAATTTTTGCCGTTACAGTAACCTGATCAAACACTGAAATCGAGTTTAATTACATATCGCTGATATCGTAAACAACCTTTTGAATCATTCCACAGTGCAGTGGTAATTTTACCTATTATTATCTTATTAATAGAATTTCTCTTGAAACACTGAAAACGGATCCAGAAACTTCAATGAATGTGCTCACGTCATTATTGTCAAAGGTTTGGAAGGAAGCAAAGATACCTGCTAATTGGAAGAAGGGCGAATTAGGCCTCTGCAAGAACTAACGAGGAATAATAATGCTCTTGTCCACGCCAAATAAAATATTAAGTTGCGTCATCCTGGAGAGAATAAAAGATGCACTGGATGCAAAATTCTGACTGGAACAAGCTCCTGCCAAGAAAGGCAGATATCTACCTCAATTTCTTGGACTATGAAACGGCCTTCCACAGTGTTGACCATGAAGTAATTTGGAAACTACTTCAACACTATGGCGTGTCCTAAATTCTTACCAACCTCATTCAACACCCATGTGACAGTGCCACGTGTAAATTGATCCAGAATGGAAAACTCAGCGAAGCCCTTAAATTGAAGATAGACAAGGCTGCCTATTATCACCAAGAATGATATTCTTAATTGTGGTGGACTAGATTATGCGGAAGACTGTGAACAGGGAGTGAGAAGACAGAAATAAGTTGGACCACCGATAAGAAGACTCTAGAAGGTTTGGATTTCGTAGATGATATATGCTTAATGTCACGCAAACTCGAAAACTTGCAGGAGGAAACCAACAAACTGACAGAAGAGACAGGCAGGCAGCGAGGACAGGACTCCAGGTGAACAAAACACGTAGTTCAGCGAACAGTCTCTTTTCGGCGGCGAATTCATTTTCTTAGCTGTAAAATCGCAAATATATATGGGTTATTTTGTGTGCATGCATACATTTAGTTTGTCAGACAAAAATACAATTGGTTATAATTATTTTGACTAAACAGGTAAGAATTAGTAAGTTTTGGGTGGAGTTACGTAATACAAAAAACAATCAAGAAAACTGGATGTTAATGAAACTAGGATAGTGTAACAAAGGTGATGAGTTGTCACAAACAGTTGTTAAAAGGGATTTGCGTAATAATATGAATAGTTTGATGATTGAATTGTCCATAGGATACACATAGAAACAAAGTATAGAATATGAAATTACGTAAGAGTTCTAAACAAATACAAGAATTATAAGCAATTAGAGAAACAAGTAAACAAATAAAATTAAGTCAACAAAGTTGTTACCATGATAGTAGAAGTGGTTGAGTAGTTCTCTTCTGTATGCACAGCTCTGGATTTTCTAATTGAATAGCTAGAGCCTTAGCAACACAGAGAAGACGAAACCGTATTGCCTTTGGTAAGTTATTCTTGACTCTGTAGATCACTTTGAAGGAGGCGTTTGTTGAGATGCGATGATCAGTGTTAACCAGGTGTTCAATTATCGCACTCCTTATAGTACCACTATTGCCTTTTTACGACCAGGCTGGATAGTGTTCTTGAATCCTATTGGACAGGATACGCGTCGATCGACCAATATTCCTGGCTTCACAGCAATAGGTGAACTGATATATGCACTTACTAGTAGTCAGATGCAGGATCTTATCCTTAAGGCTTCTACACATCAGTGGGCGACTGGAGAATACTATTCTTAGCGTTGCTACAAAGAATGTTCTTCTCAGAGATAATGCGTTCCTTCTCTTGAAAAATCGGTTGTTAAATCTCTCGTGAAATTCATGTTCATGTAGAGTTTCTTTTTCAACGCCAGTGAAGTTTCATTTCTGCAAATTCTTGGTTTGATATTTTTTCATTGAATCGTGGTGGGTATCCATTTTGGTTGAGGATTTCTTTCAAAAGATCTCATTCTGTTTCTAGTTCATCGGGACTACAGATGTGTCGGATGCGAGTGCCAAGGGATTTAATTAAATTCCGTTTTTGTTGAATGGGTAGCCAGCTATAGAAGCTTGATAGTTGACCACTTCAAACAGATTTTCTATAGATCGATCTTCTTAAGGCCCCATCAATTCTTCTTGTCAGTTCCACATCAAGGAAGGGAATTCGTGATTCGTTTTCCATTTCAAGAGTGAATTTTATTGCTGAATAGCAACAGTTAAATATCTGCATAAGTAGACTGGGGTCATTACCTTTGTCAGAAATAATGAATATGTCATCAACATGGGAAAGACAGAGGTGATGATAACCAACCAACCAACAACAACAGGCAGCACCAATCACCATCAACGGGAGAGATTTGACAGAGGTTACTTCCTTCTTTTATCTAGGAAGCATCGTTTCAACCAAGTCAGAAATTAAATACCTAGGCGACATTCTATCTGCTGATCTTTCCTGGTCGTCTCATATCTTGGCGA